TGTTCTGTTAAATACACCTTGACTTGTTCAGAATGCTTAGATAAAAACAGTTTAAAGGGATAGTGTTATTAATATTAGTAAGATGGAGACAATCAAATGCACAAGATGCCACAGCAAAAAACCTGCAGAAGAGTTCGGGTTTAATAAATTGGGGCAACCTTGGCGCAATTGCATTAAATGCCGAGAGAAGAGAAAGGAATACAAGAACACTAAGATTGTGGATAAGAAGTCTGAAGTCCAAGAAGTTTTTGATCACGTTCATCAGTTGTTGATGAATGATCTGTTTCTGGAAAACTACTTTATGATATTTGGTAAGCACAAAGACAGAGTAATGATTGAGATACCTGTTGATGACAAACCAGAACAAACAAACTAGTTCTCATTATACAGCGATACTATGATGTAATTATAATACATAAGAAGTTATATATTATAATTACATTAGAGTTATAACATGATCGGAGAATCCGAGAAGATTAAGCGAATGCTTGACCCTTAACCCTAAACCCTGAACCAAATTCTACAAGGACCCCCTTGCCTATTTTGGCCAATAATGCCACCTTAGAGATAATAGATGGGGTAATGGTTATTCCTATAATTGTGTTGATAATGGGGAAGTAGTAGTGATACATCGGTGAAGTTTAGGGGGGACCCTAGGAATAATCATCTAATGGGTTGGCGGTGGCATTATTAGCCTAAATAGGCAAGGTATACCCTAACTACATCATGCCATGCCTCTGGGAAAAGACATCATTTGCACATCGTGATGACTCAAGAGGGGGCGCGGCGCCTCCGGTACAAAGCTGCTGTGGCGTCATGCAGCCCTAACAAATAACCAAGTGGAATTCACATAACTACTAAAGTCCTAAATTGCATGAACGTCTACTCAACCTGAACAATATCCGCGCTGCCTCGCTCCAACACTGCTTCTGCATCCCACACGGCAAGCGGAGAGCTGGTCGGCTGAGCCGCTGAACCTCAGGGCTGTGGAAGGCCGTGGTTGCAAAGTTGCGGCCCGCAGAAATTTGAACACCAACCTGCGGATTCCACACCCAATGCAACCCCCTCGAAGTCAAACTCTGTGGCTTGCTGACCCTCAGCGCTTTGCTCCTCCGCAAACCACGGTGGCTTCGCCGGGAGGTCTGAAACTGAACCAATGAAGCCAAGCTCTTGCGCTTGCGCTATTAATCGGCATGCCACGCAGAAGCTCTCAAAGTCCACCTCGTCACTGCCTATCACAGCAGTCTCGAGAATCTTGGTGATGGTTTCGGACTCCAGCTTGCTTCTTAGCAAGAACTGCTGTACCATCGAAATGTGGAGACATCGTCGCCGCCCACCAAGCTTCTTGTAAAGCTTCCAGTAGTAGGACTTCTCTTCTTCCGTAAGACTGCGCAGCCGCTCAACAGAGCTATCTGGCGGACCTCGTTCGCTGCGGCCCATTGCTCCGGAAAAACTGCCATTAAGACCTAGCAAGCAGCCTCTGCTGAGTTCTCCTGGTCTCCTGTCAGTGCAACCATCAGTGGATGCATGCTTTTCCAAAGTATGCCGCAGGTGTTCAGCTAGGAACCTAGTAGTACTGCATTCTGAATTCTCAGGAATTGCAGGCATCCTGTAGCGCAAGCCTCGGGGTCTCGGCCACTTTGAGCCGTGCACTGCATCCACAAGAAGCTGCTCTTCCACCCTCTGCCTTCCCTTTGTTTCCCTTCCCTTTGCTTTGCTTGCACGACTCGCCCTGGCTTTTTGTGCGGGGCTGCTCGAGATGCATGTTTGGCTAGGTCTTGCTGCGGCTAGCGGCGGAGACATGGCACAACAGTCTGGCATACACCTTTGCCAGATACCTCTCTTTGTGAGGGGGAAAATCAACTCAAAGCACTAGCTAGCGCACAAGCTCCGGGCTTCTATCCAATACTAGGGTTTGTGTATGTCGGGCTGGGCAGTTCGCCCAATGGGCTAACCTTCAGGCTGCATGGCTGGAAATTGTCCTGATGGAAGCATGAGCAATTCTTCACCCATTTCAAGTTGTAGGCTGCTTCACGAAAACTACTGCCCGCTCGAGATCAGGCCTTGTGCAATACTTTGGCATCTGGTGCCCTTTGGGCACGGACGACTGTCGCCAAAGCTGGTAAGCCTTGAGTAGCCCCCTGTATCATCAAGATAAGAGTGCTACTTAAAATTACATGATAACTTATGGCAAGACCAGGACAACACCTGTAAACAGCTCAATTCTGATTCTGAGTGTAGACAACCTCAACATCGAACAGATGTTGACAGCACAAAAGTCATGTTTACAAGTTGGTCTTGCCATGCTAAGCTGTGACACGCAAATTAGCTGCCCGAACCAACGGAGCCTCAACTGCGTGTTTTGTGTGGTGATGGCTAGTGCACGCGTAGCTCTCTGAGGGTAGGGCCATGCCTTCCAGGCAAGTCAGACTCCTGGTTGCAGCTTCACTCACACGCCGGTACTCACATAGCACTGCGTAGACTGCTTGAGTAAACAGGCAAGCGCCAAGCGCAGTAGATTAGCTGCGCCTCATTAGGCTGCTCTGGGAGTACCACTCCAGGACCCTGACCGCATGGATTCCCATTTCGTACAGGAGAGGCATGGGCTAAGCTTAGGCACACACAATGTGGAAGCATGTTCGTGCTGCCGTTGGGGTTGATGGGGCATGAGCCGAGCCATTAACAGCAGACTGAGGCCGCCTCTTTTCGAGTCCAGAAAGGTGACTTTCCCTAACGATCAGTGCGGCTAATCCCCCTAGCATTCATTGGTCTCCTCGCTTTCAAACATGTAGCTTGAGTCGTCCAGACAGCAAGCTCCACAAGTTGCATCCAACCAGCGCTCACATCGCCACGACATGATCCCACCAGCGGACCACGTAAGATCATAGCCTTCCCTGTTCTGATCCCCTTTTACCATGGGCCGGAAGGTACTCGATCGAGGTCTACAAACTCTGTTTGAGTGCTGATGCCAGCGCATTGCGTGTCACAAGTATTCCGACCGGCAAACCTGCACGCAGCAGCCTTCCCCCTATGGAAGGGCTCACGGAAGTACCCAAATGAAGGCTTTGATTTTTGTGCCCTGACGGGCGCGCTGCCGCTTTTTGCTCGTCTCAACAGCTCGATGGTAATTGAGATAACCTCTGAAGTATGATCCAAGGTATGATCTCATGCCACATGGCCGATGAGGGCCGTCCTAGTTCACTTCAACCATGAGTCATGGCCCCTAGCATCGATGCTTCAAAAGACCAGCTACACAAGTTCCCTCAAGTGTCCTTTTCAAGCACTGCTGGACGCAGTTTCTGCAAATGACATGTGCAAATTCGGCGCACAGTGGAATTTGCCGCGAAGAATGCAGAGGAAAGAGACAAACCTGATTCAGCTTGCAGCCAAGGCAGCGGCGGGAGCATTCGGAGCAGGCTGCTGTGGCTTTCGGCCAACGGCTTCCCAAATCTTGCAGAGGCATTAACATGGAGCAATATGACTCTTCTAAATCCATCACTGGATGCGGGGTATTATTTTAATTTCTACATGGCTTACTACACTTCTAAGCAATAATTGGAAGGTCTCAGGAAAGCAAAGCCATGAACCGGGCACCCCGACTGCAGGCAGCATTGCAGAGTTCTGTCGGGAGACATAGTGTGGCCATGCCTCCGTAGCATTATTAGTACAAGCGCTTCGCAGCACACAGCTGAGTTGCACAAGCGACGTGGCCTCTGGGCGTGATACGGACTGGGCTTCCTGGAACATGTGGCTACAAGTATTGTTCATGTGTCCCCAGGATAGTGCAGAGCGGTTTATTCCAGCCAGGGAGCCCAATCCGACATATCACGTCTCATCAGAAACAGCAAGTAGGCCTGGTCACGCTATCGCGCTGGATTTAACAGGCTGGCAGACGCACTAGAAGCACGCGCCTCCCGCGTGATGACCTCGTTATCATCTGCCCGCACCTTTGCAGCAATCCGATTGATTCATGGCGAATTTGTGGCAGCCTCAAGCTAGTTCAGAAGCGGCCTCATGCACGTCTGTGTCATTGAAGTGGTAGAAACGATTGTGTAGGTGATGCCTGTCGTCAGCTTATTTGAGCGCAATGTCTCGCCTCTCGGGTGAGCTGCCTGCAGATGGCTGTGTAATGTCCACGGCCTGCATTCCCTATGTGGTTGGCCACCTCATTGGCTAGACTCTTGAGTGCCCACGAGGCTAAGCAGTTCGAAGTTCGCTGCGACTTCCATGACTGGGTTTCAAGCTGCAATAACGTCGTAAACCATTGACCCCTTGGACCAGCAGCATTGACAAGTCGTGGGAGGTTCTACTGTTAAAATCTGTTCAAGCGGTGATCAGACTTAGCACGGCTCCTTTTGCGGGGAGCTCACGAAGCTTGACAAGTCGATGCTCAAGGGTGTCCTCACAAGCAAGGTCTAGTGCTCCATGGGTGATGCAGCCACATTCAGGGTGCTGACAGCTCCGCCTGAGCCTGACGTTGATCTTGCGAAAGCGACACCTGACAAGAACAGCAGCTCACGCACAGCCAATCTAGGAGGGTCGTCTGCATCATGACATATTCAAGTTATGCTGCAAAGCGCAACGAAAGGTCGCTAGCTGAGGCGAGCACGTCGACGTGTCGAATTCGAATCTTTTTAAGTGGACTAGAAGAACCTCAGCGACCAAAAAAACAGGAAGGGCCCTGGAGCACCAGTGTCCGCTGCCAAATAGCAAGCTAATGCCATCCAGAAGGCTGGTGGAAGCTTCCACAAGTCTATCTTCTTGATTGAATCCACTCTTTTCTTGCATTTTGGACACCTGTTGAAAGCTCAGATGGTCGTCGTGCTCCACCAAAGTGCTGAATCCCCAACTGGTCGTGCCTCCATCTCTCGTCACCAGTTAGATGCTCTTCCTTTAAGAAGTGCATCAAAGCATCCTGGTTCAGGCGGCACTGCATGCCAAGTACCTCAGCCCCACTTACTCATATCACAAGCCTGCCTGCAGATTGTTCATGCCGTAGTGCACGGGCAGGGCAATGTACAAATACCTCAGGCGCCGGAAGCCTACTTGCATGATCTTGCATGATTTGCCTGCAGCCTTTTCATGGGTTTGGTCCAAGTTGCGGATCGAAGGTTTTCGACTGGTGGCCGCAAGTGATGCAGGTGAGACGCGAGCGGAGCTGACCCTGCAATCGATGTCATCGCAACTGTTGCAACTGTGGCTGGGAGAGCTGGGAGCTGCCCTTCTTGGTTGCGGCCTGGAAGAGGTCCACAAGAACAGACTTATGCCGCATCAAATGCTTCATCCAAGTCCTTGGCTTCAGCGTGGAAACCCTCAAGCTGCTCGTGCATGCTCGTGCCACGTGATCAGATTCTGAGGCTTCAACAGGGCAGCGACGTATTCTTCGCCCTTCTCCCGCTCAAGCTGCCAGGGGCCACATTGAAACTGTAAGCTGCGGGGAAACCCCAAAAATGATGGCATCGGAAGGACCTCCGTTCAAACCTCAATCCCTGCAACCGCTCACGTGACATGGCTTTGCCGAAGGCAATGGCCCGCAGCCTGAGCCATCCGCTCATCCTCTTCATCTGAATCCACTTTGGGTTCCGATTCTTTCTTTCGATGACTCTCCTCTGTTAGATTGGCATTGCTTGGCACCGCATGGTACCGCATCCAACTTCTCCATGCACACTTGGCATGCAGAGGCGACGCAAAGGCTCCTTGCGCTCTACCTTCACGAGGTTCAAATCTTCATGCAACCCGTCCAGCAGGTACGCAAGCAGCTCCTCAGAATGCAGCAGAGACAGCTGAGTCATTCTTGAGAAGAGGCATTGCAACGCCGGAGTTAGGTTGGACAGGAGTGCAGAGTTGCTAGCCAGCCATGCTTTCTGCAGCATGGACTGTTGGCCTGCACAAAACTCTGAACTTGTCTAGGGCTCCTGTGCATCTTGCTGGTCCGAATCCCGAAACAGGTGCCTTGCAAACCTTGGCTCTTCAATGCTGGCTCTTCCACTGTAACAACTAAACGAAACTCCGAGTGCCTGACTTTGACAATGTACCATAGAGTTGCGAGGGCGAGTGAGTTCGGCTACGCCGCTGCCACAGCATCTCCTGGAAGAGAAAGTTTGGATTGGGATGATTGGGCGCTGGGAACTGTTCAAATTCGAAAATGCCACGGCCACGTTCACAAAACGCCCGGCGCGACTCGACGACGTCACGGACACATTCGGAAAACGCCTCGGCAACATTCGGAAAACACCGCAGCCAGATTCGGAGAACGCCGCAGCCAGATTCAGAAAACGCGCCTGAAAACGTACGACCACGTCTGTCTCGCCTGCTAGGCTCTTCTTCCCTCGTTTCCAGATTCTGCCCGTGCGAAAGAACAAAAAAATCAGCATTACAAAAAGCACGCATTCGGCAAACGCCACAGCCAGATTTGAAAAACGCCTCAGCCGGATTCGGAAAACGCCCCTGAAAACGTACGACCACGTCTGTCTCGCCTACAAGACTCTGCTTCCTTCGTTTCCGGATTCTGCCCGTGCGAAAAAAGAAAAGTCAAGATTAGAAAACCCCCGCATTCGGAAAACACCGCAGCCAGATTCGGAAAACGCCGCAGCCAGATTCGGAAAACACGCGGAAAACGCCTCTGAAAATATACGAAAACCACCCAAACTCTAAAAAACACTAAACCCTAAACACCCTAAACCCTAAAAACTTGAAACCCTAAAACACTAAACCCTCAAAACCTTAAACCATGAAAACCCTAAACCCAAACACTCTAAGCCCTAAAAACCCTAAACCCTAAAAGCCCTAAACCCTGAAAAAACTCTAAACCTAAAAAACCCTGAACCTTAAAGAACCCCTAAACCCTAAAAACCTAAACCCTAAAGAAACCCTAAACCCTAAAAACCCTACTACCTAAAAACCCTACACCCTGAAAGCCCCCTGAACCCCAACAAAACCCGAACCCCTATAAACCCTAAACCCTAAAAACCCCCTAAACCCGAAAAGCCCCCTAAACCCGAAAAGCCTCCTGAACTCTTAAAAACCCTAAACCCGAAAAGCCTCCTGAACCCTAAAAACCCTAAACCCTAAAAACAATCTAAGCCCTAAAAACCTAAAAACACTAAACCCTAGAAACCACCTAAAACCCATAAAAACACGGTAAAAAAGGCCTTAAATAATTCTAAAAACTTTGAACCGTAAAATAAAAACCCTAAACCCTCAAAACCCTATGCCCTGAACACCCTAAACATTTAAAAAACCCAAACCCTAAAAACCTAAACCCTAAAGAACACCTAAACCC